ATTGGCAACGGCGCGCATGATGATGATACCAACTAATCAGATACAAATACCTATATCAACGTACGATATCCCAACACCAATTGTATGATCTCCCAAGCCTTGCTACACTATTTCTTCTCTCATCAGCCCATATTTTCATTCCCATTACGCCATCTCTTACCCCCAAGAAAAATCCCTTGTATAGATCAATCAATAGGTATCGTCAATGATCGGCTGTGATGAGAATATCCTCAATAATCGCTCAACTAGGTATCTACACGATTTATAGATAGGTGGATGGATAAAAATACAGCTCAGCAATCCGTACCGAGAGTTCCCCCTCTCCTCCTGTTCCATCCTTCCCGTCGATCCCCTACCTACGCAACACAAAGAACACAAACAAGTACCACTCCAACCATAATACTAGTCCTACCATGCCATACACAACCCTCCAATCCCAAGCATCTCGACAAATCTTTTCCTACATCCGCTCCGCTTCACACACATCTCCACGTCTACCGAGATGTAGTACATCCATAGTACGTCGAAATCAGCCCACATCACCATCTCAAACCCACACTCACACCTCTATAAACCCCAAGAATCAAAACGAGAAGAATCGGTAAATTTCCCGTTTGATATTGATGAAAAACAAGGAACCTTATACATATACACAGTAACAGTATCCGGTATTCAGTACCGAACTTAGGTTGAAGCTAGGTAGCTAGCTAGGGACGAATTTCATAATGACTTCGTGCATGTATGATTGATTATACATCCATAATATGACTAGTAAATACTATCTACTATCTAGATCTCATAATACCAAACATTGAATCATAGACAAGTATTAGATTGGGATGCAGTCTTCACACCACGAGAGAAAAGTTACAAGACTTTCAAGAGATATCTTTGCAACCTAGCACCTACCTAAACCCGTTCCAATTCCAATCCTTCCACTACCCTCCCTCTATCCCCTCTTACACCCGCATCCCTTCCCTCCCCCTACAAAACCTCATCATCTTCACACCACCATAACACAATCTCTCCAACCTCTTCCCCTCGGTCCCGAATCCTCAACACACATACCCTCACATATACCCTCACCCCCCTCCAATTCCTCGCAAGTCACCACTCTCTCCCTCCCCACAAACCTCAAACCCTATATGCACCATCCCTCTTCCCTCGTCTCTCTTCCCTCCCACACCTCCAAAACATTTCCAAATTCCCACATCATCAAACCCAGATCTCAAATTTCAAACATCAAACATCAAACATCCTCACGACAAGTAGTCAGTCAAACCCACTCACCCTCTCAGAACTTAGAACTTAGAACTCAGAACCCAGAACTCAGAACTCAGAACTCAGAACTCAGAACTCGGAACTCGGAACTCAGAACTCAGAAACCCAGAAACCCAAAACTCCAGAAAACCCAAGCGCTTGCATAAACAACAATTAAGAAAAGAAAAAGAAAAGATCATCGCCATCACCATCACCATCACCATCACCATCACCATCACACCTCTCCCTCCCCATCCATCCCCATCCCAGAAACTCCTCAGCAACACTCATCACCCCAACTCCAATCCCCCTCCTACACAATTCCAGATCCAGATCCAGATCCAGATCTCACCCCATATACACCAGCGACGAATTCCTCTCCCTCACACCCAAACCAAACAAAAAGCACTTACATTCTAATAAGCGCCCATAACAAGAACATCGACCAAAAACAAACCGACGAAATAACCATATGAATAAATCCAGAAGTGAAACAATGAAAGAAAGGACTTAGTCCATATTATCCTTACCACGAATCAATGCCACAAGAGACAAACAAAAGCATTCAATTACTTTTCATACCCAGTATTGATTTACGGATGGGCAAATGGATAAAACTAAATATCCATCGAATTCCATATTCTTTCACCGATATCACATTTCACACCCAATACCATGTCTCAAATTTCACATCTTCACTCATTCACAAATACCCCCTCCCAACATTATGCATCACAAATCGAGAAAGAATAATAAATCACAAAGTAAGAAAAGCTCCGAGTAATGCTATGGACCTGAATATCAAAGAATAGGAGGAATAGTAAGAAAAAGGCGGTGACGACGACGACAACCCGTTCATCATGCAACATGATCATCTAATTCCCCAAGCACATCCCTTATTTATCATCCATCACCACCCATCCATTCATTCATCATATTGCATTCTTCCGATATCTATCCACGACAAATCTTTCTCGCCTCTCCCACAATTTCTGCCCCAATCCATCGCAAAATATTCCCCCCAGCAGTAGCGCTTACAAGTCTGCCATGTAATGTATTTCGTGTGTAAAAGAGTAAAGTACCTAAGTAAACCCAGACCAAAAAGTTGTCCATTCATCGAGTTTCGTTGACGCCAGCAAATCCTTTACGCAATAGGATAGAATAGAAGAGATAGAGAGAACACAGAGGAAATTCATCAACCCATCCATTATTCCGATCCGTCATGCTTTGTCATATGTAATTTGAAGGTTATAATATGTAATTTAGATGGCGTATTTTCGGGTCCATTCTCTGGCTGTGGCCTCATATCTAGATCGGTCGGTCTTGTAAACGTGTGCGATCTCTGGAACAAGTGGGTCATCGGGGTTGGGGTCGGTGAGCATGGAGCAGATAGACAAAAGGACTAAAATAAATGATTAGTTGTAAATTAACAAAGTGTAATGACAGTGACAATATACCTTTAGAGATAGTCAAAGCTGGGGACCATTGATCTCTCAAGATGTCTAAACAGATGCTTCCGTTCGAGTTGATGTTTGGGTGATAGATTCTGGTTGTGAAGCTGACCTTGGGAGGCTTGAATGGGTAGTCGGTAGGGAAATGAATGGCGAGGAAGAAGACACCTCCGGTATATGGTGAGTCAGACTAGTAGAGATGTTAGTACATTGATAGATGATCATGATAACTCATGAAATTCGAGATTTCAAAGATCGTCGGCCGAAGGGCCTCGGATCAAAGAGACTTGAAGATAAGATCAAACTTACAGGACCCATGATAGTAGCTTGCCAGTGGAACTAAATGAAACAAATGATGTTAGTATCCTTTCTTCGATGTATCTTACTTGTTATAATATCATGACCATCTTGAGCGCATTTCAAGGTATTCTGTGCCTCGAAGGGGCATCAAATGTTGAAGGAGGAATAACATACCAAATCGTCTCCTATAGGACCAGCAGAGCATGATGAGGGAGGGTCACTATTCAAACATTATATTAGTATACTATTCTCAATACCATCCACACGAGATATCATCGCCGTCATGAAGTTTTGGATAATCCTGCACCAGACCCCGCTCACGAAGTAGCCCCACCAAGATCTTTCAAACGTCGTGGCGGTGACAATAATGACAAGAGATATAACATACCGGCCCAAGTCTGTGAGTTCCTTGTTGATTCTCTTCAAAGCCATTTTGAAGTATGTATTATTGTGTGGAGGGTGTTGTGTAGTATGAAGGGTTGTCGAGTATGTTGATGAATTTCTCGAGGTTGCAGTAGTTTAATGGACTGGTGAGTAAGTGGGCTGGGATTTCTGGTAGACACGATTTTGTTGTTAGCGACCACCCATAAAAAAAAACACGCGAGCGGCTATGCCGAAGATGACGGAAGGGGATAGAGATTGTGGGTACACGATGGTAAAGAAGAGAGAAGCGGTAAATCTTTATATCAATGTATTTGGGAGAGTCATGTAGATATTACAGTATAGACAAATACATGGAGAAAGAAAGAGTGCGGGAGATTTTGAATGGAATAACAAGTAAGATCTTAGAGTACATACTAAGAGGTTCTTGACTTTTTGTTGTCTTTGAGTTGAGAGAGTAGAGGAAGTAGAGGGAGGGTAGAGGGTATTCTTTCTTTTGAATACTGGGTAGGTCGGTAGGTAGGAGGTACTTTGGGGAAAGATGGGAAGAAGAGGAAGAAGAGTTCTTTTGAAGGTGGGATGTCTTTCCTTGAATTCAGTTGTAAAATCAAGTAGGTTACTAGGTATTTATTATCAAGAAGAAGTCGCAAGTCGGAGTCGGAGTCGGAGTCTGTGTTAGATAATAATAACTGTACGGTGAATGTTCTTGGGCAGCCAGCCGTCGTTTTGCCTTTGCTTTTGGGTTGTTTTGTGCCTTGGCCTATTTGGTTCGATTTTGGGCTGTAAAGAAGCGGCAAAAATGCAGTATCTATCTATGAATGCGCAGTATAATTCCAACCTATGATATACTCCCATACCATTATTCAGCTATAAATCTATTCACTTCTCTTCTTTTATTAACAAATCATATACCGTAGAAGTGAGGGGATTCACTTCGAACTTACTTGAAGCTTACTAATTTTTGGTCAACTCTTCACAATTCATGAGCAATCACGGAGTGGATGGTGGTTATGACAGCTATGACAGCTATGGCAATTCACATGTGGTGGATGGAACAGAAGGCCATCAACAACATTTGCCTGAGTACCTAGGTAGATACCTAGGTAATGTATCTTCTTTCATATTCATTCACGAAAACATAATAAGCTTTACCAATCCATTCAAATATCTACCATTCATTCAATGTACAAGAAGTCTCTTCATTTTCTTCCACTGTTCCCGAAAATATCCGAATGGTGGCAAAATTCCAAAGCCTTTTCTCATTGAGAGAAGACCAATATATTCGACTATTTCATATTCTCACATTTTTCATGTGAGTCAAGAGATAACGAGTAAGATAGATATACGAGCTCCATTTCACCAAAGCTCAAGACAATGTTGATATTGATTTTCTGGTTTCTATTTCTTTGTTCACTCAAGGCACTGTAACAACTCCTACACACCTATTCCTCCTATTCACCCCTTTTTAAAAAGGAAACCCCCTTTTCAAGAGTCAAGAGCCGACACCTTGATGGCCATCCTACTTCCAGTTCTATATGGCCCAATCAATATCTCATACCTTCATTTCTCATTTTCATATGCTAACTCTTTCAACTTAACCCAGATCAATCAACAAAATGCTTGAATACCAGTAATTGCTCTTCCCAAAATCAAACCTAATGCATTTGTCAGCTTTGATTTGAATCACATCATCAATTAGTAAGAAAAGATTAAGGCAAAACTTACAATGAATATCACTCTGTCCTTCATAAGTTTGGGTGACAAACAAATTCGAAACATGCCTTCCAATACCATACTCATCACTCGCAGCGTTGCCACCAAAGATCTCCTGTAATGTCCTCGCATTCCGGAGTGCAGCATCGCAATTCTGTCTCTTAATCATACTGATCATCTCCGGTGCTGCTTCTCCCTTGTCCTTGAGTCTTCCAACCTGAACGCAAGCCAGTGTACCAAAGGCCGCATCCGAGACGGCATCCGCTAGCTTCTTCTGGACGAGTTGATATTTGGCTAATGGGTTGCCTTTGAATTGTTTTCGTTCAAGAGCATATGTTCTAGCTCGGTCAATACAATCTTCAAGCGCACCTGTCATGCCCCAGGCAATACCATATCTTGCACTATTCAAGCAAGTAAATGGTCCTCGAAGACCCTCGACTGCTTGGAACATATTTGCTTCAGGTACTGGACATTCATCGAGTTGAATCATGCCAGTTAAGGAAGCTCGAAGTCCATTTTTATCTTTCAAAGCAGGTGTTTCCAAGGTCCCCGGTGGACAATCTGCTCGATCGATGATGAAACCTCTAATCTTGCCAGTCTCTTGTAACTTGGCCCATACTAAGAATACATCTGCGATTGGAGAATTTGTGATCCATGTCTTAGCTCCGGATATTGAATAATAGCCCTTCTTTGTTGGATGAGGTTTCGCAGTGGTCTCCATGGACCCAGGATCACTACCATGATTCGGCTCTGTCAATCCAAAACAGCCCAACAATTTCCCCTTTGCCAATTTTGGCAAGTACTTCTCCTTTTGTTCTTGTGTGCCGAATTCATCGATACCTCCCATTACCAGCGAAGACTGTACTGACATTCCAGATCGATATCCACTATCCACTCGTTCAACTGCCTTGGTAATAAGTCCCGAAGCAACATTTGATACACCAGCACAGTCGTAACCATTTATCGTAGCTCCTAATAGCCCCAATTCTCCCATTTCTTCGAGTATCTTTCGGTCATAATGTTCGTCTCGATATGCCTCTATTCAATCCCTCTTTTAGCTTGCGCTCCCAACATACAATTAACAAACTTACGCAAAACTCGAGGTAACATCCGTTCCTGGCAATATTGCTCCGCAGTTTCTGAGATAGCTATTTCTTCCTCTGTAAAAAGATTCTGTGCATTTAAAGGATCTTTCCAATCAAATGGCTGCGGGGTAGCATGAGCAGCAAGACCTCTAGTAGTGATAGCTACCGGTCTCGCATTTGCCAATCGCCTACTGGCATTTCGTAATATAGGTCTATACATCTTTGAATTCGACAAGTAAATTGTATTATCACTTGAAGATAAAGAAAACGTGAGAGAGGCTGTTAGGTATAAGCACTTCCCCAGATGTACTAAAGTTATAAACTAATCCGGGCCACCATTTAATTGAATTTGAAGCTCCGAGGCATGTTCGGATACAAACGGTTGTCGATCCGTGTGTACATATGGCATTGTAAGTATCGTAGATAGGCATGTAAGGATTCAACCATGCGGTAAATCCATAATTCCGTATGAAGATGGAGAAAATCAGCCACGGAGGTGTAAATTATGAGCTAAAGAGGTCGACAAATCTTTACATCCACCGGTGATCACATATCGTTGGTTGACTTTGTAGTAAAGGTCTTCCAAGCTGCCCCTAGATATGGATGGATACCTGGTAGTCTCATAGATTCCCCCGCAAACGAATCGGATGCCTGAAATTGTAGCGGCTTCTGTTGCCTAAGGCTTGAACCACTTAACGCGAGAAGATCGCGCGTCATGCACTTCATTCGCGTCAACTCCAAAATCTATCCAAAGTCAAAAGTCTTCTCTCTTTCTCAACTTTTTGTAATTTAAACCATACATCAACATCGAAATTTTGATACAACACCACAGCAATCATGGGTATCAAACAATTGATGTCCATCATCAAGGACGAAGCTCCTGATGCAGTCAAGGAAGGAGAAATCAAGAATCAATTTGGTAGAAAAGTTGCGATTGTAAGTCCTTTGCTGCTATCCATTCTACACTTACGTTTGCGCAATTAACTGACTTTGATCTAGGATGCGTATGTACTTCCTACAATACTATCTATACTTTTTAGAAACTAACATCTATCAGATCCATGTCCATCTATAGTTTCCTCATTGCCGTCCGCTCTGGAGGTGAGATGCTCACAAACGAAGATGGCGAAACTACCTCTCATTTGATGGGCATGTTTTACCGCACTCTCCGTATTGTCGACAATGGTATCAAACCGGTCTACGTATTCGACGGTGCACCACCAAAACTCAAGTCCGGCGAATTAGCAAAACGTTTCCAGCGCAAAGCAACTGCGACAGAAGGACTTGAAGAAGCAAAGGAAACTGGTACTGCAGAAGATATTGAGAAATTTTCAAGGAGAACCGTTCGAGTTACCAGGGAACATAATGCAGAGTGTCAGAAATTGTTGAAGTTGATGGGTATTCCATATATTATTGCGCCAACAGAAGCAGAGGCACAATGTGCTGCGTTGGCTCGAGCAGGAAAGGTTTATGCTGCGGCAAGTGAGGACATGGATACTTTGTGTTTCGATTCTCCTATTCTTCTTCGACATCTCACATTCAGTGAACAGCGCAAAGAACCTATTCAAGAAGTTAGTTTGGAGAAAGTTCTCACAGGATTAAATATGGATCGCAAACAAGTAAGAAATTTTTACACTTAACTCAAACTCCGGCGCAATACTAACATGATCCAAAGTTTGTAGATCTTTGCATCCTCCTCGGCTGCGATTACCTCGACCCTATACCCAAAATCGGTCCCCATACCGCCCTCAAACTCATTCGCGAACACGGCGATCTCGAAACCCTAGTTGCATGGATCACTGCCGACAAGAAAGAACGTTATGCCATTCCCGAAGACTGGCCATACCAAGACGCCCGCGAACTATTCTTCAAACCCGACGTTCGCCCCGCCGACCACGAGGATTGCGATTTCAAATGGGAAGCCCCCGACATTGAAGGACTCGTCAAATTCCTCGTTGTCGAAAAGGGGTTCTCGGAAGATCGTGTTCGCAGCGCTGCTCAAAAACTCACCAAGAATTTGAAATCATCACAACAAGCTAGACTGGAGGGATTCTTCAAACCTATCCCAAAGACAGACGAAGAGAGAGCCAATCTGAAACGCAAAAATGATGAGAAGAACGAGGCAAAGAAGAAGAAGGTCAAGGACGAGAAGAAGGAAAAGGCAAAGGCTAAAGCAAAGCCTCGAGGAACTGCCTAAGTCTCTCAACCTGATTCATGGCTACACTTTGGCATGGATATGGATGGGAGAAACGTGTATTATCTGCTAGATCAGGGTTTGCTTTACTTGCACAGGCGCACATGCATCAAATGAATATGAATGAATGTTAGAAAGTCAGGGAATGGAGTTCAAGGCGGTAGGAAGGTAGGTAGGTAGGTAGGTAACATAATATATTCCTGCTCTGGGCGGTACATTGGGATGGATATACCTAGTATAACAATAACATAGTAAATCGATTCGCCACCAACCAATACAATAAATTGTTCAAATACATTACTAACCTACTAATCTCATCACAAACGTAATCTTAGTTTAGTTTATTTTAGTTTGTATGTACCTGTATCCCCACTAAGTGCAGAAATATATCTATCTATCTATATATAAAATTCTTACCCTCTCTATTCATCCGTTCATTCGAACTCGATTAGCAAATGTGACATTTTTTTTGTTTGTATCTCATCCCATCTCACCTCTCATCCACTATACCACCCACTCTCCACTCATCCTCCTCCCCTTACCCCTCTCGCTTATTCCTCACTTCACTTTATATATATATATATATATATATATCTCTCTCTCTCTCTTCCCTTCACTGAACAGGCTGGTCTCATCACAGTTTCCTCTCAATCAAAATTCAAAGAATGTCATTTCAATCTATGTTTCTATCTATTAACCTATTACCCTACCATTCTTTCTTTTATCCTTTCATTCATTCATATTCATTCTTCATCTAATTATTCATCATTATAATTTAATCGATTCTCATTGGTTCTAATCTAATCTAATCCATCTACTCTACTCTAATCTCTTCTTTTCTTTTCAACTCTCTTCTAATCAGTAGTAATAACAATCGTAATACCAATAACAATCATAATCAATCCCTTTCCACTCTTTCCCGGAGTCTCGCATACCATTTAACACCATCCCATATTAGGCTTCATCATTCTATCCCCATTCATCCATCCATCTATCCATGATGTTAAACATATAAATTATTGAACAAACAGACACACGCTCCCCAAAAATTGACTCCTACTTGATCATCGCCTGTTGTTCATACGAATGCCAATACCATCACAATCCCAATCACAGCCCTAATAAAGTAACAAAAAAAAACAATAAACCTTCGACTATCAGTCCGCACTTCTCTCTCTCCCCTCTCTGTTCCCTCGATCGATCCTTCAATCCTGTCTCCACAAAATCCCTCCACCAACCCAATCCCAGAAGCCCTTCCCATTTCCACTTCTCACCCCCCTTTCTTCAGAATCCCATTCTCCATCTTCGTCTTTATCCCCATCACCATAAACATCCCTCGCCCTCATATTCGCCACATTACTCGCACCACATTCATGTTTCCTCCCACCCTTCATCCCGCTTCCACTTCCACTCGGTTGACACCAACAACCCGGTTTATCACAATCGTGCATTTCATCTTTATCTTTATCTTCATGTCCGTCCTCTTCCAACATCCTCCTCTCACTGTTACAAACCCCTCCCTTCTCCTTCTCCTTCCCCTTCTCTATCCCACTCAAAATTAACTCCCTCAATTCCTCCACCACACCCCCAAGTCTCTGAATCTCCTTCTTGTCCCCTTCCCGTTCCCTCTCCCACCATTCCTCTCTTTTCATTCTTTCTCCTTCCTGTTTCTTTAATAAATCTTTAACCAGATCTTCCACTTTCTTTTCTGCCTCCTCCACCCCTCTTTCTACTTCTGCCCCCTTTCCATTTCCTTTTACCGATACATCAAAATCGCTCTTCTCCATTTCCGTACCCTTCCCCCCCAGAATTTCAGCATCAAGCAACCCCTCCATTTCCATATCATTCAATCTCCGACCCCCAATAATTTTACACCCGTGTTCACATTTCATCACTCCAACTCCCTCTCCCTCTCCCACAATTCCAGTCATTCTCTCAACTTCCTTCCCCTTTCCTTTCTCTCTTCTTTTACCACCTTTCAGGCCCTTAAACTGGCTCGATAAATGTTTAAAAGCATCTCGCTGATCCATAAAATTCCCCTCGCTATCAACATATCTCATCTCCACCTTCCTATTGCGTTTGTACTCCTTATTAAAGCCCTCATCAAGTTGTTCCAACTCCGATTCATTATCACCACCTCGCTTTTCGCACTTTTCATTCCGAGTCACTCTTCCACAAACCATCTCGCTTTTCCGGCTCTCCTCCGCTTTCCTCATCCTCTCTCTTTCAATCTCTTCACTACTTTCAAGACGTGGTAGGTCTGAAAGCTTTTGTATATTTAAAGGACGCGGAGTCCTACTTTCAGATTGAACCCCAGTCTGATCCACACACAAAGGTACAGCAGATACCAACCCACAATCCTTCACTTCTGAATCCCTACTGATAATCCAATCTCCCGCCCGAACATCACCAAGCATCCCTATATCACATCCCTCACTCTTCTCACCTTTCAAATCCCATCTTTCTCCCTTCGATCCCGCAATCTCCCCCTCCAGTCCCACCTCATCCTCGGACAATTCTCCAATCTCTCGCTGCGGTATTACAGTACAAGACTGATCTATTCTCAACCTCCCACCAATCGCGGACCCCCTACTACCGCGTTTTTCCATCGATATTTTCGGAGCAGAAACATCCTCATTCTCAAGCTCAGTATTTATCGAACTCGGTACCATCAGATCTTTCTCAAATGATTTGTTTTGTTTTTCCTTCAAGAATCCATCCACCGCACGCATAATCTCCTCCATATCTTTTTCCTTCTTCATCCTTCCCACAATCTTCAACAATCCCACATCCCTAACCTCTCTCATCCACTCTATCTCCTCCAAATATATCCAACCCCGTCCTTCCTCGCCAGTATCCTCTTCCTCCCAATCTTTCCCATAAACCACACTCCAAACATCATTCATTTTGTCCATGAACCGCCCTTCTATCCTATTAACACCCACACCCACACCCTCACCCCTAGAACTAACAGCCACTTCAAATTCCCTCTCTAACCTCCCAATCATATTTTTCAACTCTTCAACTTCCCTCTTCAAATCCCTAACCTCCCCCTCCATCCCCTCCACCCTCGAATTCTGAAAAATCTTCCCCAGCGAAGAACTAGACGACTTCATCAGAGTAGGCGATTTCGACCGATTAACCTTTTGTAGTCTCTTACGAGGAGATGGAGAGCGAGTGCTTCCAGCCGGAGACTCCGCCACTAGCAATGGTGGCGAGCTAGGGCCATCCAATTGAGGCATCGAACGACGTATAATCATAGGACCTACAATCTTCATCAACACAATTCATTCCAACACTCAAACAAGAAACCAGAGAAGCTCACCATCACGAAATTCAACCTGCGACCTACCTATCGCAACCCGTTCATTCTCATCCGTCGTGGATTCCCACGATCCTAAATCCGCCATCTTCCTCTTCATCTTTCGATCCATCACCGGAAGCTTCTTTCTTTCTTCTCTCTTAGTATCAGTCTCCGTATTCATATTCTCCATCGCCTTCCTAAACTGAGCCATCGGTCCCTCCGAATTGCGTTTCCAGAATTTTTCCATCTCCTCTTCAATCTCACTACATCCCTCCTTTCCCAGCAACCATTCCTCCGATCCATTCCCATCAGAATCCTTAGACTCATCAGCTCTAAACGAACCAGGCGAAAAATGATGAACCCAATTCATCTTATTCGACCAACAAGGCTGCGAGAAAGCTCTCTCTTTCGCCGGATATCGTGAAGCCTTTCTCTCCATGGCAACACTCCCCAGTCCATGCGACGCATTCTTCTTGTTTACCTGCGCATCAGACATCCGGTAACTCGCTGGGGTTTTACCAACCTTTTCTCTAACCGTGCGATACCGACCATGCTTAGGTGTCATCAGTTGTATGACTCTCTGATGCACAGGCGAAAAGCGCTCTGAATTCGCAATATTGCGTTCATTTTCACGCTCCACCGAGTCTTCACGAATTCCCTTGTGATCTGAAGAGTGCCCGTCAACCTCATCCCCAGAAATACGTATTTTAACTTGCCGACACGGAGAATCCGACGATTTGCAGTTTTCATCATCCACACCAATACTCACACCCAAATCACCCTCATCTTCCGTCAACCCAGACTCAGGATAATCTCTTCCCCCACTCCCCATCACAGACAACGAGATCGGGCTTCCAAAATTACTCGAAACCCCCTCTCGACTCGCAATCGTACGATCATCCTTTCTTTGCATTTGAGCTGAGCAGTCTTTGCCTAATTCCTCAACACTTGCTACCAAATTACCTTCCTCCATACCACAATCTTTAAGTCCACTAGCACAAAACTCTATCTCCTTCAACGAACTCACCTCCCCCACAATCTCATTACTCTTGCTAGAACGAGTAGGAGAAGGCGAGCGATAAAGGCCCTGCTTAGCCTCATAAACTAAATGAGGTACTTTGAGAGAAAATCCTCGAATGCTCTCTTTCCGTCTATTCTCTTGCGATGCATCGAGAGCTTTATCAACAGATTTCGATATTTCATCCCAAAGTAGTTCATGTTGACTTTTGACTATTTTTTCCGGCTCTTTTTCTTCTTCTTCGAGGTTCAAATCGATATCGATTTCATGAGTAAACTTTATATCAGGATCTTTATCCTTCCTCTCGGTTTCCGAATCCTGTACGCACTCCACGTTAGAGTAACATGTCGATTTATTCTCATTTTCAGAATCGAAATCGAAGTCTTTAATGTTGATAGGAGTGGAAATTTCGTAAGATAGATATCCATCTCGAATTTCAGGCTCCGAGGTATGTACTGAATCCACCTTGAAAAGTCTTTCCAGTTCATTCTCGCTCTCAGAGCTATTGATATTATCACAGCTAGACACTGATGTGGTATGAGAGTCTGACTCATTCTTGCTTCCAGGAAACGCGTATTCATGCCAAACAGCTTGTGTATCTTCGGCAGGTGTGTCGAGGATGTCTGATGGTAGTGGTAAACCCGTTGGAGTACTATGTTTAGTACTCAATGATTTGTTCTTAGCGAAAACATTATTATCCGAATCTTTGATTCGATCTTCCTCCTCCCTACTTGCTAGAAACATCCTATGGTTACTCGCCAGGATACGACTGAGACCTCTCAACGACGAAGAAAAGTCATCTGCGCCCTCTCCCTTTGAATCATCCATATCCATCGACGCAATACTTTTTCCTTTTACTTTACTCGGAGTTGATGAATATTCCAACTCATCATGAAGATTCTTACTCATCTTATCTTCCCGCAACATCTTCAAACCACTTTCCATCTTCCCAATCGTAATGAGATTTCCCTCACCATCGAGCGACCCAACATTCAAAGGCTTGACCATATCTTCCTCAACATCATAAGTTGGAATATTAATAACAGTAATGATTGAATCATCGGAATCGGCTTCAGATGCCATAACAGAGTCTACTCCCGAGTCTCTTCTAGGACTTGGACCTGGACTTGATTGCCCAATATCTTCAGAGGAACCCGAACCATCCATTCCAAATCCAATCCTAGCACTACTCTTTCTCTTCCTGAGAATTGTGCCAGTCTTAATAGGAGTTCTCTCTCTTCGTCTAACAGTCTCTTTCCCACTGGCCGAACCCGAGCCAGCCCAAATATGCACTTTGAATATTTTGCCAAACAAACAAACAAACAAACAACGAATAAAAAATGGGTAATGCTGTGCGTGGTAACCAATTTACCAGGAGACACGCCAATTAACTGATACAGTATTGGCTTTTTCCACAGGGAAAATTTGTTCTAAGAATCAATCAGTATGTCAATAAAAAGATCGATCCAGCATGTTCATTTTCAGGGCCCAGGACAATCAGTACTATCCACTTACCCAGATCCTTATCCTTCGCTACGAGGTTCTCCAAAGGTACAGCGTCTGGACTCAATGGAGGATCAAAACAAAAAAAGTACGATATTCTCTCTATAACACGAGCGAAGCTCTGAACCGGAATCTTTCCCCCTTCACTGGTAGTAGGCAAAAAGCTATTGGGGATGGGAAAGGTATCAGCAGGGTACTCGACTTCAGTGCAAGCCTCTTCAAATTGGTATTCTTGTAGCTCGTGAACCGCTTCTACGTCAATGCTGTCGTCGTATTCCTGTTCCTTAATTTTGCAGACACACAAATTACTTTCGAGGATCGCGTAGGCTTTGATCACAAGCTTGATTTGAATCTTGAATAGTTTCGGTGTCCTGTTCAGATATACAGGACCACCAGGTGGGAATCGGGGTAGAGGACGTTTCCCACGGCGTATTTTTTCCCAATTACGCTTCAAAAACTTCTCTTCTACTTGTGGAAACAAGTGTGTCAATAGTGTTGCAACCAAGTTTTCAAATTGATTTCCGATATCTGCGCCGAACAAGAGCTTGATTTGGAGTTGTTGACTTCGTTGGAATGTGTTTAACAGGGTCTGTTCAAGTACAGCAACGTACGCTTTGAGGTTGTCGAAGCTAACTTCTCTGTTTTGTCGTATTGAGCGGTGATAACAAAAATCTTTGTACTCTTGTTCAACCTGCCTCTCGAGCTCGAGAATTTCGTTCTCTATACCCTCAACTGGCTCGCGACTTTCTCCTACTATCGGAGATCCAACAGTAAGTGGCAAGCCGTTGAAGTTCCTGGCCAGAATTGCAGAAGAAGGGAGGTATCCCAGTGATTGTGCTGGCTGTGCCCAATTGTAGGATGTTTGGCTCTGATTATAGTTGCCTTGAAAGGTAGCCTGTGCTGAACTTGATGACAGTGGCTGAGAGGAATTTAAGAATTGTTGTTGTCCTTGATTGATATGCAAGGCACCCAGTGATTGCAAGCTGCCAGGTGCTGGTAAGCTTCTCTGTACGCCCACGTCGCTTGATGATTGAAGATGATGTGCTCCAGTCGAGCCCGTATCGAGGAATGTTTGATATTGGTTAGGATGTCCGTTTCTATATGTCTGTTGCAGCTGAGCTCCTTGCAGCGACTGACCCCACTGCAGCACCAAGCCACCCTGCTCCGTCCCCGTCTCTCCTCCCAAATCCAAGTGTTGCAATCTACCTAATAACGAATTCTCTCTACCTTCTTCACTCGGTATCCGACCTTGTCCCGGCTCAAAAGATCCAGCGTTTGGATCCATTCACATTCATATGAATCAACAGAGACGCAAACAAGTATGATGGAATATGACTTTGAGTCTCGTATGTGAATCAGAGTATGGTGGGGGAGTATGAAGTGTTGCGAGAGAGGATAAAGTGTTATGAGTGAGATGAAGTATTGTGAGTTTTCGTGTATATAAACCAGAGTCTCGCATACAAATCAGAGAATGATGGAGGAGGATGAAGTAACCCAAGTAAAGAAAAAACCCCCAAAAATAAATAAACCAAAGAGCTCAACAAATTTCCTAATCAGGAAACCACACCACCCTCTCCTCTCAAGTTTCAACATAGGAAAGCACCATGCAGTGTAATCCCCGCCCATCACCTCCCAGCTATACATACCATTCCATTCCATTCCATTCCGGAAACCACCACAACCACCAGGAAAGAAAGAAAGAAGGAGTATACGATAAGTATAAGCATAAGCACAAGCAAAACCTACCCATCCACCCCCCATCCACAAACTTTCTTTATATATATAAGAATCTAAGAACTACTTAGTACTTACTACCCACACTTACAAGTTTTTTACATACTCTCACTCTCACTCTCATACTCTCATACTCTCATACTCTCATACTGCCACTCTCACTCTCGCCCTCACACACAATACAAATCCCAACCCCAACACACCACAAACCCCAACCTCAGAACCCACACACCACAAAACATAAAACTCAAAAAGTAAAAAAAGACAATTCTTTTGCATATCTCATTCAATTCTCTATCCAATCCTATGCTATCCTATGCTATCGTATCTACACTCTCCCTCCTCCCCCTCCTCCCTTTCCTTCCTCTCAAAACCCCCTATATACATCCACCCATCCATCCAATTTACACAATTTACACCACAACCACAACCACACCTATAATCACCATCAATCTCCTCAACACCAACACCAACACCAGTATTCAACTATTGTTTTGATTCCCTACCCACTCTCTCAACGATCTATCATCCATCCAACAACAAAAACAGCAACAATAGCAACAACAACAACAACAACGACAACAACAACAACAACAACAACAACATAACCAAATCTATCTACAAAACTTTTTTTCTCCCTTCTCATCTCATCTCATCTCCTCCCTCTCCCTCTCCCCCTGACCTCAACTCTCACTCCACCAAACTCAAACTCAAACTCAAAGAAACAAACAATAGTAGTGATTGTGTCACCCAATCATCTTTCCTCACTCCACCCCCCCCCCCATCTTCTCCTCCCTCATTCATCACCCCGCTCCTCTCCTATCTCCTCTTTCCCTCCCCCTCAATCAACGTCCACAGTAAACAAACACAAAAGAAACTCGACTACGAATACGATGATGACCCTCTAAATCAACCAAGCCAGTCAATGGCAGTCCTAGTAAAACTCAAAGCAAGCAGAGGTAAAAGAAAAAAAGTGATTAAGATTCAATGAAAGTTTCCCATCCCACAAAACCTCCCAGAGAGAAAGAAAGTAAAAGGAAAGTAAAGTAAAAAAAGGCGATTCGCTAGATGGTATCATGGTATCTTATCTTATCCTCCACTTACTGCACTGCGCCTACTGACTATTGCTCCAACTCTACTACTCCTTATCAACTTTGCTATGTATTATTTCACTCCTCTTGTATCCATCGCTAAACGATCCCTGTTTATACAAATCATCTCCCTATCCCAATCCCAGAATCTTTCTCTTCCACCCCTCTTCCATTTGGCGGCAAAGGCGGTAATTGTTTCTCCAAGCTACTCCTGCTAATCATCCTCCTTAAACTTTGCGGTCTTCCTTGATTATCATTCAAACTGGGAGGATAATCTTTGGCAGGCGTAGCTGGCCTTCTCTCGTCATCATCATGTGTACTCCTAATACTCCTTCCACTTCTTCCTCCTGTACTACTCGCTTCTCCCATTTCCTCGACAACTGGAAGTATCTGTCCCTGTAGTCCATTCGTCCTTTCCGCACTTGGGCTTCTAACTGTCGATACGGTTCTAGGTTCGATATGCTCTCGTCTTCCATCATGCTCAGTTCTCAAGGCTTCATTTTCAGCACGTTGAATGGTAGTGTTGTTTGTGACGGTACGATGCATATGTGCACTATTTGAACGTCGGCGTGTAGAACCCATGGTAAGGTTGGAGTCTGTGTGGGGTACGGGTGGGAGAGGACATTCTTCTTCTCGAGCGGCTTCTTCTTGAGATTTTGTAATTCCCTCAATAAATTCGATGAAACGGTTGCCATAAGGTTGGGGGTTGATGGGAGAAATCAGTTTCTTATCATGCTTGAGACCCTCTGTTTTTGTATTAGCTCAAATTACTGCCGCAAAATCAAGTTGACTTACTGAAGAGATGTTCGAGTTTCTTAAGAGTGCCATAATGAGTAAGACAATCAATAATCGACAAGAAGAAAATTTCCTCTCCGGGACTATTATCTTCATGTGTCGCTCGGAATCCGCCATCATCACTATAAAATGTGAAATCTTTCTTGTTTTCTTCTTCAATCTCATCCGGCATTCGTGAACTGCTTTGACCCATTGGAATTGGCTTTTCCTGCTTGATGATCTGGCGTAATTCTCTCGCTTTCCTAGCACTCTCCAGTTTACTAGGAGTTCTCATTAAAGGTCCAGGTGGTCCAGAATCATCTACTGGGCTATCTCCCCCGGGCTGGAAGACTTGTAAAGTTTTGTCCCGTAGATTTTCTTCGTTCCCCTTAGTCAAATCATGTATTCCGACCAACATACTATAATCCATAATCTTCAGTTTTTGCAATAATGCTACATCCTTCTCCATTTGTTCGAAGAAGACTCGTCTCTTCTCCGGCCCAAATTCCAGGTGAAGGTTTCGTCGAAGCCAATTCAAGTCCTTGAGCGTAGCACGAGGGTTTTGTTCTAGGTTCTCTTCTTTGAAATCTCGACCAATGGTTGATCCTTTCAAATCAAAGGTTTGATGGACATCGCGGTGTGGTGGGAACAGGTTGTTCATGACCACAAAATGAATCTTTCTTCCATAAGGAATCTTCACTCGATGAAGTCCATAAAATTGGGATAGAAGTGTGTTAGGATTGTCCTCCACATGGTGGTAGTAATCCTTCAAAATCTTTCTCAGGAACTTATGTTCGGAATGATGAATCGTTTTGATGATATATTTGTAATCTCTCGAGAAGTAGAAGAAACTTCCACTCTTTCCAGGTGATCCTAATTCAGAAAGAATGTATTTGCTTGTCAATGACATGAGATAATCTGCAGGATCCAACTTGAATCTTGCCCGAAGACTTCGAAATACCCATGGCGCGTAGTCCTTGAATTTGAAATCGTACTTTGCAGATGGGGTCAACTCATTCCCAGTACTGTGTATAGTATTAGCTAAGTCGCTTCACAGATGTTGATTGTAACCTACATATCAAACGAGAATTTGTGCTTGGCCTCGAAATCCGCATCAGTCAATGGTCTATCCAGCTTCGCGTTCGTTCTCGAAACGGTAAAGCGAATGCCCGTCAACATGTTATATGCCGTAACCCAATTAACATGGTTTTGGTCAACTTTCGTTCCCACAACCACTCTATCATCATCTTCCTCATCCTTCTTTCTTCTCTTACTCGCACGCTTCTGTCGTACAGCTTCTGCCCATCTAAGTGCATCCTCATCCGGAGGAACCTCCTCGTGAGGCATATTAGAATGTATCGATTGTGTATTTCGTCTATTGATACTTGAGGATCCACGTCTAGCACCTGCTGTAGCTACCGAAGTTGGAGAGAATCTTCCACTCGTAAAGACCGCGTCATTACCATCCCTTGAATTTCTACCCGAACTCACTTTAGGTACTTCTAGTGTATGTCGATGCTTCAACTGAGTTGAGCCAGGGTGTTGAAGGGAGTTTTGTGAGGGTGAAGAGGGCGGTGGATATGTTGGAGGCGAGGAAAGAGAAGAAAATCTTTGTGGTTGTTGTGGTTGTAGTTGTGGTTGTGGCAGTGGTGAAGTACTTGTGGAACGACCTGGCGTTTCGGGTGTAGGTAATGAATTATTCGTAGGTACTGGAGTCGAAGGTAATAAAGGTGATTGATAAGTTAAGGGACCTGTGCTCTGAGGATGTGGTTGTGATTGAGGACTCGAAATTCGATTTTGGTGTTCGCTATCACTCGTGGTGATTGGTCGTGGTGAGTCGACGGTAGCGTTGGAGATGGTTCCATTTGTTGATGCATAAGAGTTTCTATCTCCAGCACCATTTGACAACCTATTAAAGCCATTTGCAGGACCTGGACTCCTCCTTCCATTCTGGGATGAAGCATTGGGTTGTTCATTTACCGAATATGTACTGCCATTCATCGAAGAACGAGATCTGTAATCCCAACTACCTGCGCTGGATCGACCATTTGGTAAGGAGTTCAAGGTTGGCTCATGATGCGCATCTCCATTCATTTGGTGCCTGCCAGTCGTCCCGCTACCATTGGAGTGAGGGTGTGAGTGACCATTTGACGCAGCACCACCATCGATATATAGATCCGAGGCGTTCTCCAAACCATTCCTTATTGAATCATGTGTTGAGGTTCTGCCATTTATACCATTTATGCCATTCGCACCATTGAGGGATAGCTTTTCGTGTGAATTTCGAAGATGGCTGGGGAGATCCAATGGGGGTCGGGATGACGAAGAATACATAGAGCCTCCTGTGTCGTCATTTAAGAACGATGGCATCTCTTCGAAGTGTGGCATTCGTGAAGCTGTTTAATGGGTATCGAGACTAAGTCGCGTTTGTTGTTGATGTGAATCGAGAGGGTTTGGTGGTAGTACGGTACGGGTAGTGGATGTTTAAAAAGGAGATTACGGGTTTTGCGGATGCGGGTGCCAATTGATAGTGCGTGGATTATTGAGTTAAGTAAGTCAGTTCAGTCAGCAATTGACTAGTTGTAATGAGGGATAGAAGCAGATGGGAAGTGAAGTGCAGAGGAATAATTGGATAGAATAAGTGAGCATATGAACATTATCAGCATATCATCATTTCTTTAGGTGGGTGAAAGAGAAGATTGAATTGAGGTTAGGGCAGTTAGTAAGAGAGAGTGACGACTAAAAGACTAAAAGACTAAAAGACTAAAATTAGTGAGGGAGAGAGAGAAGTTAAAGAATTACAAGGTTATTTAGGTAAGTAGGCCGTGGGAGGTATCGGGATTATTACTTTGTAATCAGGGATTAAAGCAAGTGTGCTCTTCCTGGTGGTAATTGTGAATATAAGAGGTGTTCCCGAGGTCTTTTATTTTTTTCCTTGCGTGGCTTGGTAGATGAGTTGTTTATTATAGCCATTGAGCTCTGGTGAGGACTGAATGAAATGGATGATTGATAATGGTGGATGAAGTGATGATTGATGATTACTATATTAAATGACTCGAACTTGGAATTGAGTATATGTGTGTATTTATGTGTGTATTTATGTATGTATTTATGTGTGTATTTATGTGTGTATTTATGTGTATATTTATGTATGTATATATATATATGTGTATATATATATGTATGTATATATGTATGTATCTATGTATGTATAGATGAGAGGTACCGGTATCTAATTACTTGTTATTTCTGACTATTTGTTATTTCTAGCTACATGACATTTTACTCTTTACTCTATTATATATCTACCTACTCTACTATACAATAAATAACCTTCCCAACTCCTACCTCCTACCTACCTACCCACCTACCCACCTACCCATATCGACCGACGAGATGAAGCATATCGCCATGATCATTAATTTACCTCGTACGAGATCTTTCTCTTTTGGTGAATGATGAAAAGCTTCAATTTATTTATGAAGTAGATATGGATATACTCTATGTACCTAGGTAGGTAGGAGTATTAAATTTTGATACAGTATTGTTATTACAATTATTACCTACTGGTATTACGCATTTCATTAACTTATAAGTTATCATGTTTAATGTATGGTATTCGATATCCAGTAAACATCCATGAATACATTCATACTTCATAGATCCTCTTTCCATCCACCATTCATCAGCCACAGCCACAATCATCAATATGGATCAGTCCCGTACACTGTCAGCCCCAATTTCAATTCCAATCCAATACCCCCAAACAAAAGAAAGAAAAGAAAGAAAAGAAAGAAGAAAGAAAAAAAAAGAAAAAAAAAGAAAAAAGAAAAAAGAAAGAAAAAAAAAAAATCTATTTTCAGTAGCATCCAGCTGTTAGATTCTGTACCTATTGCATACACGGTACACCTATGCATGTCCCTCTCACCAGTGGACCTACCAGTCAGTGGACCTACCAGTCAGTGGACCTACCAGTGGACCTACCAGTGGACCTACCAGTCAGTGGACCTACCAGTGGACCTACCAGTGGACCTACCTCCCAATGCACAGATAGAAAACCAACCCTCTCATAGAAAAGAAACCCCCGATTACGATATTCTCATTAAAACTAATCTTTATTGAGATCCATTTCTCAATTAATTATGGGGATAATTTTCAAGGGTCTTCCTCTTGGTTTCTCATAAATGAGGAGGTGATATTATGCGGAGTATATACATTTTCTGTAGGTAGGTAGGTATTATAAAGCACATCTGAGTTTATGGTTTATATACTCAAGAATATATACAGAGTAGAGAGGAAGATAATTCATTCATAATAGGTAGGTACTTCATATATATCCTCAAAAGTTAAGGAAGAGATGAGAGATGGATTTGTTATCAAGAGGGGGAATGAGATCATAATTGACTATACTCTATGATATTTGAAAGTTATACCAGTACATATGTATAATACATACAGACATACAAGACATACATACCCAAGTACAATCAATCAACTCCAAAACAATTCACAAGATGAGATATACCAAAGTATATCCACGAGTAGGGATTCATGCTGCAATCAATTATAACCTTCTTTCCACCTTCCTTCCAATCAATCAATCATTACTCACTCAACCAATTGATCTATCTAATGTATTTCATCCACTACCTACCTACCTACCTATCCATGGATATTTTGATATTTGCATAACCCGTCGTCGATCTGAATGATCTTCTGCAACCCAGATAGAGACCTCTGAAACAACGGTTTCTCATTCATTCATTCCCACAGCCTCATCTCTTCGTATCGTATTCCGTATACAATACCTCTATTCATCCTTTCACACACACACACATACATACATACACACATACATACATATCCAATTATCCAATCACCAACACCAAAGCCACTCCTACCTACCAACCAACCAACCCATTCTAGAATAGCAACGGAAATTCCAACCCCACCATATCCATATCCACATCCATCCGAATTACTCTCTTCTGTTCTGTCTAGGACTGACTCTACGACTCTACGAACGAGCCTCGCTCCTCGTACGGTAGTACCACCTCCCTCCAGCTAGCCCATAGCACAACCCAAGATATGATGATACTCCACCCCGCCCAAACCCAAGTAAATCCTTCCACATGGCCAGCACTTTATTCAGCCCTCCAGGGCTTACTTTGCTTTGATTTGCTTTGCGTTCCTTCTCTTCCGTGCCTTTTCCCCGTACGTACTCTGTGGAAGGATGAGATTTCACGAGGTTCATTTCGATATTGATTTTGATATTGATGTGTTGTTCTTGTTATGATTACTAGGTATTATTTTTTATAATTCTCCAATTTCTATTTTCATTTCTGTTTCTAATTCTACTTCTACTTCTATTTCTATTCCCATCTCTAACACAACACAATTCAACTCAAAGCGTATATATCTCCAGGATTTTAATACATCTTCACATCACATCTCATCTCTCTTCCCTCGCAAAGTCAGGCTTTCAACTATTTATATCTACACACATACATATATATCTACCCCTCACTCACCTCGTATCATCATCTCCTTCAATTTTACTTTTTTACACACATGATACACACACATATATATAGATACATAGACAATAACTCCCCCATCATCATCATCATCATCATCACCATCATCACCATCATCACCCCCAGAACCAAACCTACCCACCTCCGTAAATAAACACCTTAAATCCGATACATACACACTCCGAACTTTCACATGTGCATGCGGCATCGGTTGGCGAGCTGACTTATCCTATTAGGGATCCTATCTATATCTAAATAGAGTAGCTCAGCCTCAGTGGTTGTTCATGGAGTTGGGACGGCTGGCTAGGTAGGTAGGTAGTTACCCAAGCGAGTGGACGAGTGAGCAAGCTATGAATTGTATTGTATTGTGTTGTGTTTTTTGTGTTGCTTACCTATGTTATATTACATCGCATATCTGTGTAACATAACACTGATCTGATATAGCGTTGTGCTGTGTTATCTAGGTATTAAAAGATAAAGATTAAGATATGAAGAAAGATGAAAGAAAGATAGGAAGAAAAGAAGAAAGAGAGTAAATATATCATTAATAATTAGGTATCTCATACCTTACTAGATATCTACTC